TACAGTTTTAAAATTTACACAAGTTCGTCTGTATTTTAAAATTAACTATGTGAATTTTAATAAAAGTCAATATTAAATCTGGAAAGATTTAATCTAATACCTTCATTAAGGTATTATAATTACAAATATTTATTAGTATAACTTTATTTGATAAAATTATATTCTTAAACTCAAAATACTTATGAACAGAATTATTTTGCCCACTATAAAATATTTTTATAAAATAAAAATTTAATCTACTAGTAAATGACAACTCTGGGGAAGGTGGGGGAAGGTTTGTAAAAAGTTACAGTATAAACAGTTTTATTATTTCATAGTCTCAATCCTATAGAATGTAGAACTTAAGCATAGAGAAACAAATACCTCATTAAACATCTCTAGATTTATCCTTTTATTCAAGTTTTTTTTATTACATGACAAAGAAATGTCGTAAGTTCTAGTATATTTGTGTTTTGATGCATGTCATTTCTCAGAAAAATGTTAGGAGATGTTGAGGAGTATACTTGTTTTTCTTGGGATTTTACCCCCCGCCCCACACATACAGACACACATCATGTCACGTAGTAGGTTCAAACAAAGTAATTTAAATCTTTCTTTAACTTTTCGATATTAACTTAATAGTGCTTTTGTACTATTGTAATCCCAAATCTGATGTGTGTGCCATATACTCAAATGGGGAGCTCTACTCTTTATATTGTGTATTTGCTATCTTATTTGAGTAACTCAAGAACTTATTCTTATTTGAGGCATTGCATAAATGCTTTATGTCAACTGCTTTTTTCTTTTCAAGCTTCTTAATAATTAAGTGATTGGTTAATTACTTTTTAATTCTCTTGTTAAAAATCTTTCCTGGCAGTATACTTTGTATTGGTACAAACTGTATCTTTTTATATTGTTGAGATAATTGGGTCAAAGAAAGTAAGAAAACATTCAAGGTTTAAGGTATTCTAATTGTTACTTGGTTACTCTAAATAGGTATCGCAACTATTTTTATTAGAAAATGGAGGGAGCTTATATGGCAGTAGTTGAATTTTATCTCTTAAAGTTCATAGTTTTGGTTTAATGAGCTTTGAATTGCAAGGGAGCATTAAATTAATCTTCCTTTATTTAAAATCTATTTAATGGATTTGGCATATCCTAATAAAGAGGTTACCATTATATAAAAGAAAACAGGAAACATCCTATGAAACCAAGCAAGAAGCAATCAAAACAAAAACTCTGAAATATTTTGTGAAATTAAAATTGGAATAAAAAAATGGACTGGACAATCTCATTTGCTGTTATTTGCAATAGCATTTGACATGATTTAAATCTAAATAATTAATTAAGAAATTGCACTGCAACAGAAAGTTTTAAGAACCTTTTATGTAACTTAATACAATGCTATTTGAGACTGCCAGCAAACTCTTAAAACTCCTGGACACTGGCTCTCTTCTCTTCTGGCTTCCCTCCTAGTCATGTCTTGGCTACTGTCCAGAGCTGACAACTTTCACCCAGGAGTGAAGGGAGATTTGTCTAGTATAGGGAGGATTTTTGAGCCATCCTAGATTTTCACATCCAGCTGGGCAAGGAGGAGGGGTGGCAGTATCATTGTACATACTTGGGTGATGTCATTGTGCCATGCATGAATATAACCATTAATTTACTCCTACTGGTGAATCCTGAATGTCCTTACTCAAATATTCCTTATTAGAAACTATAATGTAACAACTTCAAAATTAACACAAAAATTACTCAAATTTTATGTCCAAGTAACTGATGCACAAATACCTTGAGGTTCTCCATTTCCAACTACGTATACTGCAGACCAAAGAGGTTTCACATCTTGGCTAATAACATAAAAACACTTAGAATCTGTTAAGATGAGAATATGGAAGTTCCAGTTTCAAGGCCTCTGCTCAGATCATTATGCTAAAGCTTTCTGAACACTGTGAATTATATTTTGACAATTTATTGTCCATAGTGTATTCTCCCTAAAGTGAATTGTGATTATTATGCCTTTGAGGATTTTTAAAGCTATCAATTTTAGATTCTTTTAAGTAAATTTACCTACCTTTATCTGAAAGACCACTTAGTATTCTTTTAAGTAAATTTACCTACCTTTATGTGAAAGACCATTATGATTTGAAAGACCTTTGGACAAGAGTAGTTTTAAGATATGATTGTGTCAATATACCATACTCCCTATGAATCTTGTGAGTACAGAAGTAATCTGTAACACTATTTTAGCTTTTTAAAAAAATATGTACATTTACATGCCCAAATATCTTTTATGCTTTTATACATCACTGGAATACTGAATGAGTTTATAATTAAGATAAAGATGATCTCAGTCAGAAACTTAGATGTTATTCTTATATAATTTCCAGTGCTTTTTATTCTATAGACATTTTTTTCGATATCTGTACAACTTTCACCATCAAGTTTGCCACATTACGTAACCTATTCTCCAAAACTGCTGTGCAGAAAGCAGTAAGGTCATTCTTAAATATAACTTATTTTTCTTGCTCTAAGACTTCATGAAAGCTTTTAAAAGCAAATTTAGTTTGTAGTTAATAACTCTAGTGTAAACCTATGGAACTTAGAAACACAATAAATTAACTATATGAATGAGTTTCTGAGATTTCTAAATCCAGGCTGTATACATCTTTTATTTTGGAATTCATTAGTTTTCCTCTACAAAGTGGATGGTCGATTTTTTTAAATCTTCCATAAATCACCTTAAAAAGAATTATAATGTTGACAAATCTTACAGGGTGTTAAGTGGTTTATTAGTAAATTTCAAGGTTAAAGAACCCTCTTTGAATGTCAGGTTGTCCATTTAAATATACAGGACCTTGCTTATATGCTACTAGAATGGAAGACATCCTTAAACCTTATAATTTCTATTATTAAAATAATTGAAAAAGCCCTAGTTTATATCACTGCATATCTGAATACTTGAGTTCTAACAAAAACCGACTTTTAATCATTTTAGATTCAGATATTTAGATACAAAGGCTTAGTCTTGTATTTATAGATAAAAGGAAATCTGACCTTTTGATTAAGAAATATTGTCAGTAGCCTTTATAAGTGCTTGTTCATCTGAGGGTCCATGACAGGAGTACTCTTCCCAGTTGAGTTTATCCTAAAAATGAAATGATAAGAGCCTGCTGGTTGTTATCTAAGATTCTTCTTAATGGGAGAACCACATGGTTATTCTTCATCTCCCACTTGTTCTCACCCTCTACAACCAACCCAGCCACACCCCACCCCCACCCCAACATTGTTCAGTACTCAGCACAATGAATCATTTTCAAGTTGACTCATTGTGAACTGTCTCCCAGCTGTTGGAATGTCTGGCAGACATTTTTGTTTGGGTGAAGAATAACTGGCTGAAACCCAACCTGGATGAGTTTGATATAATAGTCTTTGGCTAAAGAAATATTGAGAGGAACTTGTTTATGGCCTCTGAAGCCCCTGTTATTCCTGGAGTAGGACCATCCCCTGTGGCATAGAACTGAAAGTAAGGAATCAATCTGTATTATTTTCTCACCATTGAGTGAAAAACTGCCTTAGAAAAAAATAGGCATTTTCAAATTATGTTTGTTTTTCTATACTTGGTACCCACATGATTAAGAGTATTAAAGCCAATTAAGGATAATTATTTTTACTGGTTCCTTTTAAGCATACTGATTCAAAGGCTGAAACATTCTTTATACAACACATATTTCTACTTACAGAGGAGTTTCAAATACTGCCCTAGGTATGAGTTAACCAGTCATTTCAGCATAATGTTTAGTGACAGGAGCTACTATGTATTTCAGACTGAGTCAGGTAACATTGACCAGTTTTCTTTTATTTTTCATTCTTATGCAATCTTTACTAGAAGACTTAAGAAGCAGAGGAATACCAGTAAGCTCAGTAGTCAGTCGTGTTTATAGGAAGTGAATGTGTTTCATTGTGTTTGGACTTTCCTCTAACAGGGGTCATAGGATCAAACTAAAATTTTCTTAACTGCTTTACATTTCCCATCCTTTTCTAAAGATTATTTTTAAACTGGTTGATATTACGAGTGTATAAAATGGGAGTTTCAAAAGTATAAAATTTTAGAACCATTTTTTCAACTATCTAGAACTTGAGAGCAAAAATTTTTCTAAGATGTTATAACATATGAAACATTTGCTGACCTATCACCCTGTCAGGGGCTAAAAGAAATACTGAATCTCCATTAAATAAAATAATTCAAGAGAATCTATAAGGTATTTAATGATTATATTTTTAATGATTTTTTATAGCCATGAAATTCTGGGTATTTTACAACTTTTGCTACTTAAAATGTGACCTTTTTTACAATGTATTATTTAACAATGTTTTTGGTTCATGTCAGATTGTATTGGGAAGGAAAGTGTAGGCTACTAGTTTAGTGCTAGTCGTCTACTCTCTTTTCTTTGCCTTTATTGTTATCCCAGAGCCAAATAGCAGCATCTGGAAGGAGAGAACAGAAGACTCCAGAGCTAGCCATGCTGCAGCCTCTTAGCTGGACCCTTCCGTGATTCTAAAATGATACAGAGGACCTCAGCTGTTACAGGGCTGGGACCTGGTCCCAGTTGACAGATGATAGCAGGACCTTGCCTTACACATTATACTGTACTATCTACTGCTTCTGAGTCCTGATGTCTATCAGATTTTCCAATGGGTAAAGTAATTTGAAAAAGAATAGTGTGTGAGAATAAAGGTAGCCTTGACCCTTAAAACAGAAGAAAAATAATCAGTTTATGCTCTCTACCAAAAATAAGATATGTCCCCTCAGCTCTTCCAATTAGAATAGCCCCTACATGGGCTAGAATTTTCAGTTAAGTGCATATTCTCATCCAGTTTTCAGCCTGTGGTAGCTTTGAATTATTTCTCTACGTTGATAGTTTATCTCCTCTACAGTTTGTCACTGAGATGGTATAATGGCACTGAATACATGTTATATTATTAAATATAAAATGAGTGTTTTATTTCTTGTTTTACAGAATAGAGCAATTATTGCTCGTATTACAAACTTGTCAGATACAGTAGTTGGTCTGGAATCATTCATTGGTTCTGAGAGAGAAACCAACCCATTATATAAGGATTATCATGGTAAGCAGCACCTTTATAAGTAGAAGAGAATATCCTGTGTTGCCTCTAGGGTACCTGGAAGCATTGTATCCAGTCATAATACCTACTGTCAAGTAGCATGAGTTTTATTTTATAATATATCTGTTAAATGTTTTCCATTCCTGACCATTCTTTCATGGCAGATTGTCACCAAACTACATTAAGACTATGGACTGTGCTAACTACTTGAAAGAAGTCAAACCCAAGTACTAAGCCATGCCTCAGTCAGATAAAAATTTTATTGTCCCAGGGATTTAAAGTTGTCATGAAATCAGTTGTACTTATTAGCCATGTTTGAAATAAATATATCAGTTCTAATAACAACAGCTTTGTATAGTGGTTTATGCTTTACAAAGCCTACCTATATGAAAAATAAAATTCATACTTACTATGTTTTAAAAACCCTAGTCAATCACATTTTCAGAAAGTGAACATCTTTGATTATATTTGGACTTTGCTCATTTTGTTGTTTGAGTTTTGAGCAAATTTTATAATATTGCCACCCTAGTATAAACACAGGTCAATTAATCAGATTTTAATTTTTTTTGAAGTTTTTAGTAATATTTTGGTCATTTGGTTAATTTGGAGATTTTTTAAAATAAGGGTTCTTACATAGAATCATTGAAATAGGAAAGGTTTAATAGTTTTGCACATCTTAGCTCTAAATAAAATACAGAATATGGGGAATGATAGATTTTTACTTATTTACTTATACTGAGTAAATGTTAGTTATTGCTGTTATTATTGTGGACCTACTGTACTTTCACGGAAACCTCTAAAGACTGAATATCTTATTTGAAGCCTGCTAGAAGATTATATAAGATTGTGATTGCAGGACTGTGACAATTTCTAGAGTCTACAAAAAAAAAAAGATATGATACTTTATATGATAACCACCACTGCTTTGAAGTCAGCATACAATCTTTTAAAAAGTAATAAAACAGCACAATCTAACAAGCAAGTATTTTTTAAAGGCCAGAAAATATAAGCTATGAACAAAAGCTACATAAAATAATTTGCCTCATGTTAACTTGCATAACTGTATATGCTATATGCCCAGATTAACCCTATGTATAATTATTGAATCCATTATTGTCACTATTATAGGAAGAGGACTATTAAGTTTAAACTATTCCTTTTTTAAATTTATTATTGAGCTATAATAGACAAACAACATTCTATTAGTTTAAGGTGTACAAAGTAATGATGTGAGAGATGTATGTATTATGAAATGATCACCACAGTTAAGTTTTGTTAACATACATCACCACACATAGTTTACAATGTTTTTTTTCTAGTGATGAGAACTTTTAAGATCTCCTGTCTTAGCTACTTTCAAATATACAACACATTATTGTTGAGCATAGTCACCATGCTGTACATTACATCCCTAGGACTTATTTGTCTCAAAACTAGATAAACTATTTTTCAATTTTTATTATTTCTGCTTTCTTTTAAAACAACTCGTTAAATATTATCTTAATAAATTATATCTGAATATCATCTGTAAGTATTATGACCTAATAAATTTAGTAAATTATATTTTATATTCTAAGACAGTTATTTTGATTAAAACATTTCAAGGGTGAAAGGCTATGATGTTTTGTGCTGAAATCTCTGAATCGATAAATTATTACCAACAGATTAATGAAGGGTTTTGACGACAAGTAGCATTTCTGTTAATAAGAAGGACCTGATAAACTGTATTCATTCATTGTGTAAGGCCTCCTGACTTAAGAGCTAAATCAGCATACACACACACACACACACACACACACACACACACACACCCAAGGTAAAATGAGGAGTGTGCAAGTGAAAGTCTGGTGTGCTCGTTTCTAATGTATTTTACTAAGTAGCTCTAAGATATCTTTAATCTGTACCTAAAAGCTGTCTTCTTAACATATTTTGCATTTTTTTAAGTTTAATAAATTAAATCAGATATTTCAGTGAATTATTTTTGAAAAGGCCATTTTGGAAGTTAAGCGCCTAGAGGTTTACCCTTTGAAGCTAAAATGAATACATATATTACTAAGCATTCAAACACACACACAACTGTATACTAGAAAAGCAGTTCTTTAAATAAGATGCATCTTATTTGTTCAGATTTGGATTTGCCTTCTTCCTCCATGTTTGGAGATCAGTGTCTTTGGGATGATGATTTTAAATATGGGCTGAGTCAGGCAGAGAGATGCACTGAAGAATCTTCCATGTCTTCATCTGTGGCAAATGACCCTGAGTTTAGTCAGAAACTGCATTAAGCTGCACAAAAGGCATCCAGTGCCCTTGTCAGAAAAAATTAGCAAGTGTTTCTACTGACAAGAGGCCAAAGCTCACGGTTTACCTAGCACTATTACAAAGCTTATAACAGCTACACAAAGGTCTAACATGCCACAGAAATGAGGGTCTTGGAATGGCATAGGGGTTAAAGTTTGATCCTACAGTGTGCTCTGAAATGTAGTTTTCTTCAGTGGTTTGCTCAAGTCATTAATAAGGTACAAAATGAAATACTTTTCATTAGTGCTTCACTGGTTATCAGTAACCCATAAGCCTTGTTTTGCTGGCTGCTTACTGGTGCATTTAATAAAATAAAGATCACTCAGTGGTGCCGTGGGCAGCATGCAAGGTGATAGCCATATTTGCTTACTGTAAATACAAGAGAAAATCACACACAAACCGGCTGTAGTTTTGACAAGTATTAAGATCCCTCTTTACATCTGTACTTCTGTACCAAAATGCAATTAGTTTTCCTCGCACAAGGATTTCTGTTTATCTTATTCTGCTTGATTACTTGAGTATAATCACACCATTTGCTTCATTGCTCCTGGTAGTAAGCTCCAGTTTTAAAAGGGGAGGATGCTTGTGTGTAAATTTACAGGATTCTGCTGTAAGACTCTTAATTTATGCACTAAGACAGTGTTTTTAAAAAATTTTTTTCTTTTAATTTCCTTTTCACAAGGTTTGATTCATATTCGGCAGATTCCTCGGCTTAATAACTTGATTTATGATGTATCCGATGTCAAAGACTTAGCTTTTAAATTAAAAAGGAAGCTATTCACCATTGAGGTAAGAGAGAATTTTTGTATTTTAGTTCACGGACTTAAGGTTAAATAGTCTATGTGTGTATGTGTATATATATATATATATATAATTCTTAGAAGACGTTTCCTGCTAATATTCTTGTTCTTTTGGTGTAACAAAATAATGTTTTTAGACTCTCTTATTTTTTTCTCTTTTAATGGCATATCATTAGAGTATAGCAAAAAATGATTTTGTTTTAAACGTCTATTCAAAGTAAGCTCCAAACTTACATGGTAAGTATGACATGCGTATTTCCAAGGCTTTCAAAAGCATATTTAATTAAATGTTAATGAGCTGTGCTTATTTGTGTGTGGAATGTGAAAGCTACCCACAATTGTGTATGGCTAAGAAAAGAGGATCCTTATCTATATTCTAAAAGCAGTTTTTTTTACTATTAGTGAAATCACCTTTCCACTTTCCATGCTGAACAAAACAAAGTATAATTTACACCAGTGTCTTTAAGTCAATTTTCTACAAAACTTAAAACTTTTTTTGTGACCTTTATGCAAGCAGTCATGACAGAAAGTAGTGGTACAAAAGATTTATTTCAACTTAATCTTACTAAAGAGCAAATGAACATAGCACTATTAAGCAATTAGAGTTGATGTATTTATTAACGAAATAAATGCCCAGGGAGAGATGGCTTTTGGGTGATGTGATAGTTATCAGTATAGTCGGTGCAATTTTTTTAACAAAGACATAAAACAGCCAAGCAGCCTTGACAAACCATTTTGTTTAATCTCTTTTCAAATGAAAAGCTCTTAAGCAGGCCACTTGTCTTAACTGCTTGAAACCATAAAAAGAGAGAATTGCCACCAATAAATTAGCATATTTTTAACTTCATCACCAAATGATGGTCAATGTGGCTTGGCACTGCTTTGGTGTTTGGGACTTCACCCTTAAGTGACCACTTTGGCCCTTTTTTGACCCTCTGCCCTCTTTAGCTGGCCACTTGATAAGGTAACTTCATGGTTCTCCCTCTTTTTCTCTTTCCCTTCACATTTGCAAGTAGCACTAACCTATAAATCATTGTAAGGGCCCTATCCAGTGACAAATTAATGTGCCCTCCTCCTAATTAATGGTCATCAATGTCCTTAATTATCTAATCCTATTGAGAGCAGTTAATAGTTAATCAGGCAGCCAGTTCTTCAAGCAGGTCATCTCTGCAGGAGTGTTAGAAGTTTCTCATCTGGGGATACTCCCTTCAAAAGCCACTTAAAGCCAAAAGATAGAGAGTGTAGAAATACTGATTCTTGAGCTAATTTGCTTTAGTTCTCAAAAGAAACCATTGAAATGGAACCCAACGCTGTAATTGTTCAAACTTTGTTTCAGTTTTTCTGATAGAATACTAAGAAATTTACCGTTATTATTTACCAATTTTAAGCAATATTTTGCTTAAAATTTTTAGAGGCATAAAGTTATAGTTAGTGTCACAAGGAAAGCATGCCTCATCATTTTCTTTTAAGTTGAACTTATATTTTTTATGAAAATTGGGGTTTTTTTTTTCCTCTGTGCAACACCTTTCTCCCAAATGAGTATTCTGACAAGCAGGTCTAAGGTATCTTGTCATACAAACTAAGCAAGCAGATTCCCTAGTGAAAATCATAGTGCACCCACAGAAAAAAGTAGCACTGTAGTGTGAATCATGTTTATTCTCTTTCTCTCTCTCTCTCTCTCACACACACACACACACACACACCACAACACGTATATGCACACACACACTGGGTCTTATTTTGGGTGTGAGGAGATAGAAATAAAAGACTTAAACAATGTTAAGTGGGACCTCTCCTTTGAATAAACTTGGATTCTAATAAAGTGACTATACTTTATCATTGGAGCTGATGTGAGATCTTTTATAAACCACATAGGTTTCTGTTCCATTTCCTCTCTTCTATTCCCAACATTCTGAACTAAGAGAACAATTATAATTGATCACCTGTGGTTTGAAGCAATATTTGAAAACAAAACACAAATAGATGGTTGGTTTTTAAAAAGTTAATATTTAATACAGTTGATCAAATCCTTTACCTTTTTGGCTTATAACCATCTTTTTTTTATACATAGAAATATAGGTGCAACACATTCCAAATAATTTATTCACCTATGCCATAAAATTCAATTTGGTGATTAGAAAAAATAGGAGTTCAAGAACGAAACAAACCTAATAGTAGCATATATAGGTATAATTATAACAAGATAAAGTCATGTGGTTCACATAAGACTAAATGATTTAAATACAGCATTATACCTTATAAAATGCATACCCAACAGATAGCAAGTCTTTGGTGATACACTGTAGAAATTGGAAATGAGAAGATTCCTTCATTGGGGGAAAATTATGATGTGACATTGTTTTAATATGCACAACAAATGTTTTTATTAAAACTGATACCAAAAAAATAATAATAAGATGTATACTTTACTAGTCTGTAAAGTGTGAGACCCTAATATAGCAGGCACTGAATCTGTGTTTTACTTTCAGAAGAGAAAGGTGGTTTAGCGGGAAAGCAGAATAAGTTTTCTGATTCCATACAGGTAGATCTGTTACATGATGGAATTTTCTATCAGTCACATGGTCTCACATGGTTGGCATGTTTGGAAACGAGCAAAAAAAAACAAAACAAAACAAGAAAATACCCTTATTTCTATTTTTAGGATACCCTTTCTTTGATTTAGTACTCTTTTTATATATGAAAACTGAAAAAAAAAAATTTTTTAACTGACAGCCACCAAGGGCCTCTAGCAAATAGAGCAGCTCTAACCAGCAGTCTTTAATTTCTTTGAGTGATTTGGAAAAGGCAAAAGAATATTTCTTTCTTCTTGGGCTATGTATTGGTATTATTCACATTCAAGTCGAATTTATTTATCTAATCACAGTAAATTTTTACTAATACCTAGTATTCATCAGCTATGAAGCTCTATAAATTAGACCCTCTACAAAAACCATAGCAGAATCATATCTATAGTAATGACACTAAAATCCTGGCCTGTGTTCTGGGTAAGTAAAAGAGAAAATATAAGGTTGATTCATTCTGGCTTCGGGTTAAAAAAAAAAAGTTTTCCAATTCTTTGAAAATGTATAATCCTTGTAAACTGTACATGGTAACTCTCTAGCATATTCGATTAACCACGACATACTACTTATTCCTTGGCTTACCACATAACCTTTATTCAGTCATAACAAGACTTATTAAGCCTTTATTGTGTACCAGGCCCTCTACTGGCTTATTTATACTTTCTATGTAGTAATTGAATATTTTATAACAAAAGCCTTTACTAAAACATAATAATAGACTCAACGTATACAAACTATGTCTTTTTCATCTTCGTATCTATCCCAGAACTAAGAACAGAGTCATACACTTAGCAGGTATAAAATCTTTGCTGAAATATGTGTATATAGATAAGTTATGGAGTTTGAAAAATTATCCAAATAATGCAGCTATAAATATTATGTAAGCTCCACTGGTCAAGTGACATATAAACACTACCTTCTCCATTAAGTTCCACAAGAAATATAACTTGGGTACATAGCTTCACATCCAAGCTGAAATAACCACTTAGACTTGTGTTTTTTTTCAGTTTCTGTAATTTTTGCTTCTCTAATGCTGGGATCATCATTAACCAGTTTTTTCTTTATATTAGTAATTATGATGTAATTGTAATACCTAAACAAGTAAGATTTGGTAGGATTTGAAATGTGGCTTCATATAATTTGATGATATCATAACAGCAAATTTTCAAAATAAGGATAAACAATACTTATATAGGTTTTAATTGGTCCAGAAATAGTAATTATCATAAGTAGTATATTTATGTGGGTCTTGCACATTAAATGAATATTGAGAGTCCAGAAAATCAAAGTAGATTAAGTTTTCTCAAGATTGTCTTTAATTCTTTGCCCCTAATTCAGAACACAGGACTCTGGTACCTCTCAGTCATCAAGAACTTTTTCTCACAGAGGAGTTGATAAACCAGTATCTATTAAGTAACACTATTTTTGATGCACTTACTTAGAAAATTCATTCTTAAGTATTAAGATCAAAATATTATATGCCATCAGTATAAGTTAGCTTTATATAGTACTACAGTACACTTGATATGATTCAGCAGAATTATTTGAAATTTTTACATATTGGAAAAGCATAAACTCCTGTAGTCACTATGACAATGTTGGACAACGTAGAGTTGCATGATATCTTTGGTCTTAGGTTTCCTTACTTCCCTACATTTTGTATCAATAGCCTTTCCAGTTTTAAATGGGAAGTAGAAAGGTGACTGTTTACTATACTTAGAGGTAGAGAGGAGAGTTGGTTAACTTATTTGTCAATTAACAATTATGTCACTAAAAAAAAATAATGGAAACATAAATGTCTGACTCAAGAACATTAAGCTGTAGCATGATGGACTATATAGTCCAATATACTTTTCTGATAATGATGCCCTTCATAAATATTTAAATATTCACTTCCCAGACATATTGCAGTTAGCAAAAGAAAATCAAAGTGGAACATAGGCATCTGTTCGTATAGATCAAATCATTTGTCAAAAATAAATTCAAATTAACATTCTTTAACAATGGAAATGTCATTTTGTGCATGTTTACATCTTAATATATTCATTATATTACCATACCCATATTTACACTTTTAATTCCTAAATAAGGTAGACATACAGTAGGGTCATATAGGTTTCACAGACTCTCCAGAAGTTGGTAATACTGTGCTCTTATATATTCCACATGTCATAGCGAGCCTATCAACAGTGCATACCACCTTAAGGGGAACACAATTTTGAGACTCTGTCTAATCCTATTTCTTCCCACATTGGAATCTTAATTAGAAGAGATAAGGAAAAAAAAAAACCATCATTTAACTAAATTATTGTCTTGAATCTGTAGCAAAAGGTATAATCCGCAATTGGGCCAATTAGTGAACCCCATAGTTAGCTATGCTGCAGCGAACAACTTGATTAGATCTGAC